AGGGACGAATAACTAGAATTATATTCATTTTCATCGCTGTTCGAAGCAGTTTTCTTGGTGAAGTGATTCTTTTCAATAGCGATGCTCGATATTGTATTCTTCAGCAAGATTTTGGTCGCATTCGATTAACAAGATAAACCTGGCAATTCTCCTCATTAAATATTCTGTTTCCCTTCATATTGTTTAAAAGTGCATTGTTTATAAGCACTGTTCATTTGATGATGGCTCACTGTTCGATTTATGATCAGTTAGTGTACTTTTCCTACTGATCTCTTGCAGAAAATTTTGGTCGATCGATTGGAAAGCAGGTGAAGAGGCTAGGAATTAGATCTTGAACCGAATGAGGGAAGAACTTAAAATGTGAAGCCAACTTGGAATATTTCAGACTGATTTTTTAGACTGATTTGAACAATATCAAATGCTCTGTCATGACTCACCATTCGTCGTTGTTGATTGTTCATACTTAACATTAGGTGAGTGAGGCGAGGTTCATCACAGCGATACGTGGCGAGATCCTTCTGCAACAGTTCAGCCTCAAGATCTGCGTCGAAATTTTCCTGAGCTTGTACCGCTGCGTAATTAACGACAATTTCCGGTTCTGGCAAAATACAAACCATGAGATGCGATTAGGCGTGAAATGTTGGCTCAATAGAAGAGCAGAGTAAGGTTACGAGATCAATAAAGTGATCGTGTAACCTTGGAAGTCTTTCTACAAAACTCCTATCTTTCTGATAAACTAGTTCTTATATTTGTCATGTTATGAAGTCATTTAGCGTAGATGCTCCTATGGATGGTTGACGTGGATTTGCAGAAACCTCTCGTGCAGAACTTCAGGCTTTGAAGCACTGACGAATCTTGAGAATGTATTGGCAGTCTATTCACCTTGTTCGTCGAAAAACGGAGTATCGCATTCGTATGGACAGTAGTCAGCGGTACAACCAATCGGTGTCATACCACCACAACCTGAAAGTAACGGTTTATCAGTGAGTGATAAATAGTGATGCAGATATTAACAGCAATTTCGTTTTTTCGTCTTTAGACAGGTGAATGGTTTAGAAATAATTTTGCGTTTCGAAACGTTTTCCCAGTATGACAGTGACCGTCAAACGACGGCGTTACACTTTACAATGAATGAATGAATCTTTCGATTAGCTCACCGTCATCGCTTTCTCCTAACAATAAGGCCTGAGCCAAAGCACCTGCTATCAAGATGGCAACGTACGGTCTCATCATCGTGACTGAAAATACTCGTATGAAGTAAGAGGTTCATAAGGAATTGTTGGTTAACTTTTGAATTATGGGTGGTTTCCTTCATTGAAACTGAAATTTAGCTTAATGAATTTTGCAAACTGAAACGAATTTTTGAACGTTTTCTCTGAAACCGTGGTTTGAAGCTTTCCAAAAACGCATGAAGAAATCATGTACGATGAAAAAAACTGCATAAGTTCATCAGAAGTCTAACCTTGACGACAACGATAGGACGAGGCTGCCGTGCGATGAATTGCTCCACAGAAGCAATGACTGCGAATGGTCTCGATAAGCCGAATGTACTAATGTATTAATTCGTTAGTTATTGTTTGCATCATTCTGATTATTTTTGGAGAATGGATCTGATTCACGGCGAATCTGATTATATTCACACACTCATTGGCATGTTCTTTGCGTGCTTTTGCTTGTATTGATGACGACAATCTGTGACGTTGATTATTCCCTAAACTAACTGCTGATAGATTTGTTGAACTTCAAATTAGTGCAAATGTAATCCTCGATCAATTTTTGAACTGTGCACTGCACAAATCCTCTGAATGTTGTTCGAATGTATTATCAACTTTGGAAAAGATCGAATCTGGTGGGTTAACAGAGAAAAAAACTTTTGAAACAGCATTCTGTTTGTTATTGTGATGATGAAGTGAGCAAAAATTAATCGCATTTACATATGAGCAAGTGAAATGATTCAACGTGATCAGAGCGGTCAATTGTTCTCATTCGGCTATTACCTGGCACATCCAGATGATAATAATAGTAATGAATCTTCTGATATTGACAACGGGCGAGTTACGGACGATGGGAGTACAATCATATGGCGCTTAATCATACAAATTCTATGGTTCAGATTCGCTATTGTGAGTAAAACAGATTGCTCTAAGTGATCAGTGTAGAATGCTGTGCATTTCACAGTGAATTTTGATGCATTCTTGTTAGTATGTTTGAGCAGCACAGATTTCGGGAAAACGATTAGATTATAGAAGTACAGATGAATGCTGGAATTTCAGACAGTTTGATTTTTACTTCAAAATAAGGAGATTCAAGGTTCGCTAGCTAACGAACAAGGAGAACAGGATTTCGTTTTGTTTTGCAAGCAATCTTTGTTTCGCAAGATAGCATGAAAACGTTGGGAATTAAAACGGGAGATTTGGCAGCTAAATGATGAAATATGGTGCGTAAGAACAATTGAAGGATTCAAGTCTGCATTACACTCCAATATTCGATAGAATTTCAGCTCAAGAATGATTTTAAATGAATCCTGAATATTTGTTTGCTAGGGCAATAGTCTTTGGACAGCATCCATTATGTGTTGATGGTGAAGAAATTGGTAAAGTTGGTCGCTTTCATGAGTTTCCTTTTTTACACGTTCTGTATATCCGTAATCGATGTCATTCAGTGCATATGATTCGGTCGCATCTGTTCATGGAAGACCGAATTTGCACGTCCGAAGAATCAAGAGTCTATCCGCTGAATAATTTAGATATCAATTGGCAAGTTTGAAGCAATTCATTTAATTTCGGTTGGTCATTAAGCACACCAATTGGTACTTGAAGTGCATCATCAGTCTCTAATGCGTTTCGTTTTGCTTATCGTTTCATCTGCTTCGGAACGGCATTTGTTTGCTATTAATGCAGAGTATTTCGGGATTTTAGTGCAAAAAATATGCACTATCGCTCATATGTGCCTCATATGGATTTGCGTATCAACTGACACGAGCAATTTCTTCACCATTACGAGATTTTAGTTAATGGTTTATGAAAAGATTATTGCCAAATTGAATCGTGCGTTTCAGTCCATCAGATGGGATGAATAGAAACTATGTTTTGAAATTGAAATAATTTCGAATTCAGTCCATCTGAATGGCTATTAATCAGCGCTTTTTTTTCGGTGTCATATGCTATTAAGACTGCAAATTTGGCTGAAAAATC